CTTGACCCGATCCTGGAACCTTCGCGAAGTCCCGCAGCTTCTCTCAGGCTGGAGCTTTTAGTAGCCAGGCAAGGCGCAAGCCGAGCCGGCGCGGGCACAGTGCGCTGAACATGGCCTGCAGCGCCCCCGCGTGACCGCAAAGGGAAGGCCACCCCGTACCCTGAGGCTGGAGGGACCGCCAGTGGAACCCCACAGGATTCCGTGTGTTGGGGGTGGGTGTCTGAGGCCCGCTCTCGCCCAGCTTGTTTTTGGGTCCCCAGCCCTGCCACTACCTGCCACAGCCCACCATTCGTCCAGGTGCTCACCAGTGTCCAGGCTTGTGCCCCGCTGTGTACAGGGGTGCACCTACTTGGGATCACAGAGTGCCTACGAAAACAGGGTGTACAGGGCCCGGCACGGTAGTCTAGCTATTGAAGTTCTTGTGTTGCACGCACCGGATCCCATATAGGTGCTGGTTCGTGTCCTGGCGGCCCCCGCTTCCCATCCAGCTCCCTGCCTGTGGCCTGGGCAAACAGTCAAGGATGTCCCTAAGCCTTGGGATCCTGCATCCATGTGGTAGACCCCGGAAGAGGCTCCTGACTTCAGATTGGAGCACCTCTGGTCATTGCGGCCACTTGGGGAGTGACTCAATGGACAGAGATCTTCCTCTCTATCTCTCCTCCTCTCTGTATATCTGATTTTCTAATAAAAATAAATCTTTAAAAAAAAGTTGGGTGTACACTGCATTTTAACCAACAGGCCAAGGTCAAGCCTAGCACTGTCAAATCAGAGACTCTCTGTCCCTCCACTCTTCTGGGTCAGCCAGATCCCCTCGCTCACTTTGAGCCCCTAATTGATCATCTCTCCTGGTAGATTCTGCCCAAGCCCTGGCCTCACAGACCAGGGCTGCAGCTCAGAATCCTGCACATAACAGGGATTCATAAATGCTCAAGTACAGGGTACATGCAAAGTGAGATGTGGGGAGGTTGGGAACAGAGTTTGGCAGGTGGAAAAGAAGACAGAGGCATGACAAGGGATTCGGCACAATGAGGAGCCCTTGGGTCAGTCAGTAACCACTGAATGAGGTAATAGAGCCCCCTTTTGCAGGCTTCACTGGGGAAGGTCAGCAGTGGCCAGGGATGGTGGCCAGTGAGCCAGCAGAGGAGGTATAGCCCCCTGGATCTGAGCTGCCTGGGTTCAAGTCCTACCAAGTGACACCGCTACTGTGCCCCCTGCCCCCAACACACACACACACACACACACACACACACACACACACACACACACACACACACAGAGTATCTGCTTTTCCAGGTTGCTCAGCGGCTTCCAGGAGGGTCTGTGCATGTGTCTGGCTCACAGCAGGCTCTCAGCAGTGGGAAGGCTCCTGACCACTGCTAGCATGTCTAAGATGACAGAGCAAGCCCTCCCTGCTGTGGGGCCAGCCCCCTCCCTTCCTCCAGCACCTGTCCTTCCAGCTTGTGCTTACTCATGCAGCTGGCCTTGGTATGCATCCTCTGAGAACACATGCACAATCCTGGTGAAACATTCACTTCCCCTTTTCCCCACCACGTGACCCATTGACTCCTGGGTCTGTATCATGTTCCCTCATGCTCCCACCAATGGTTTGAGATTCTTGGCCCCCTGCTTCTTAGAAGGACTTGGCCCCCAAAACTATGCCATGTTTCCCAAATGACACATTTCTTCTTTATTTGATCACTTCAGCAAACAAACAGGAGCTGTTTATTTTGTGAACATGTCAAGTTCTCCACCACCCCCTTCAGCATCTTCTCTTTTTCTCACCCCACTCAATTTGAGTGGCCCCTGAGTCCTGCTCCTTCCATCCTCAGAGGTTCCTGTACACCAGGCATCCACACACAGCCCTCCCCATGACATTGGACTTGACTCTGAAACTGGCAGCAGGAACAATGGGCCTCACGAGGAACCAGTATGCACCTGCTTCCCCTGGTCTGTTGCTTCCACCAGGGATAGAGCCTCGAAGAGAAAACAAACAGACAGACCACAGTCAGACCTCAGCAAGGAGGGAAGCAGAGCAGCGTAATCAAGCCAGCCCTGGTCTTTCTTTTCTTCTTTTCTTTTTTTTCCTTTTTTCTTCTCTTCTTTCCTTTGTTCCTTCGTTCCTTCCTCCCTCCCTCCCTCTGTGTCTCTTTCTTTCTTTTCTTTTCTTTTCTTTCTTTCTTTCTTTCTTTCTTTCTTTCTTTCTTTCTTTCTTTCTTTCTTTCCTTCCTTTCTTTCTCTCTCTCTCTCTCTCTCTCTCTCTCTCTCTCTCTCTCTCTCTCTCTCAGATTTCTTGACTTATTTGAAAGGCAGAGTTCCACACAGAGAAGAGGAGAGAGTGTGGGGGAGAGGGACTCTTCCACCTGCTGGCGTACGCTCCAACTGACAGCAATGAACAGCAGGCCGTACTGGAACCAGAAGCCAAGAGCTAGATCTGGGGCTGCCTCATGGGTGTAGAGACCCAAGTACTTGGGACATCTTCTGCTGTTTTCCAGGCCATTAGCAAGGAACCAGACTGGAATTGGTGCAACCGGGACACAAACCTGGTACTCATTTGGGATGTTGGTGTCACAGATGGTATCTTAACTTGATGTGCCACAATGCCAACCCCCAGATCATTTTGTCTCTGGTTGACCTACGCGTGCACAGGCAGTAGAAATTCTCATGGCATTTTCTTGTGCAACAAGAGGTGGCTAGTACAATAAATATTTCTGACTGATTCCTTTTTTCATATCAAAAAAGTTCAGAGGATACCTTGTCAAGAGAACCCTCACCTCCCAGAAAATTCTCTTGAATTTTTGTTGACAGTTGTACCTATTTTTCTCTGTTGGAAAAAAACACCAAAGGCGATTTTAAGAAAAAAGATTTGTTAATGTTTATTGGAAAGTCAGATATACAAAGAAGAGCAGAGACAGAGAGGAAGATCTTGTCCATTGATTCACTCCCTAAGTGGCCGCAACAGCTGGAGCTGAGCCGATCTGAAGCCAGGAATCAAGAACCAATAACCTCTTCTGGGTCTCCCACGCAGATGCAGGGTCCCAAGGCTTTGGGCCGTCCTCAACTGCTTTCCCAAGCCACAAGCAGGGAGCTGGAAGGGAAGCGGGGCCACCAGGATGCTAACCAGCACCTACATGGGATCCCGGTGCATGCAAGATGAGGACTTTCGCAGCTAACCTACTGCGTGGGGCCCCAGAGGAGATTTTTAAATTGCCAGTTTGACATACAAATAAATGTCCTCTCTCATCCTACATGTATTTAGTGGATCAACTTTTAAAATACCTTTGTGAGTCTGCACTCTCTGTGTGAATGGATGGTTTATCCCTGGCCTATTTGCTTCTGATTACTCTGACAAGCAGGAAGCTGAAGGGTGAACAGCTTCTTTTGAGTTTTGGTTATCCACTTAATCCACAGCCTCAGAATAGATCCTCAGTGGACTGCCACTCTTGTATATTTTGAGTAATAACGGTTTCCGTGTAGTCCTTAATTTTGCCACAGTGTGGTCATCTGAATGCCTTTTGTGGTAACTTCTCAGTTCCTACATGAAAATCCACCTACCTAGGGTAGGAGCAGAGGTTGGTTTTTGCTCACGGTTCCGAAGATTCACAGAACATGATCAGGAAGATCCTGCAGGCTCATCCTCCAGCGAGGTTGGAGGGGATGATGGCAGAAGGAATGCAAGGCAAAGGGCATGTGGTCAACCACAGTAAGTAGAGACTTGCGATCATGAACTTTATGTCTTACCAACCCTCTTCCCACATGAAAGACACTACCCTATTCCCACATGATGAACATGGCAACTCTGTTTATGGAGCAATTGCTTATCCTTGATTTGTGCAAAAGCTCCTTGAGAGATGTGAAACAAGTAACAAGATTTAATCAGGAATTGTGGTGTGGAGCGGGACAAGCCTGCATTGATAAAGCCACCATTTGCAATGCCAGCATCACATATCAGAATGCTGGTTCAAGTCCCAATTTTTCTGGTTCTAATCTTTCCCTAATGCCCCTTGGAAAAAAGAGAAGATGGCATGAGGGTTTGGGTCTCTATCACTCACATGGGAGGGAGTTTCTGGCTCCTGGCTTCCATTTGGCCCAGCCTGGACTGTGGTGGGCAATTAGGGAGTGAACCAGCAGATGGAAGATTCTGTGTGTGTTTCTGTGTGTATGTCTGTCACCCCCTCTCTCTCCAGAGGTGCTGAATGGTAGCCAGAGACCTCAGCCATTCCACCCCCCACCCCCACCACCATTCCAGATATCCCTCCCAAAGCTCTAAGTGCACTCTGCCCTTGGCAGGTGACCCTGGGAAACCTCCCTAAAGCTGCCAGGGTGAGCTTCCTTGCTGGACAGCAAGGAGCAAGAAAGATACGACAAAGTCCTGTGGCCTAGCTATATCACTTATCCTGATTCAAGATTCAGTGGAACCATTTACAGTACCCAGCTAGCAAGAGTGAGAGATCATGGGCTTTCAAACAAAGACTGTGCGTCCCAGGGGAAGCCTGACAAAGGAGAGGGAAGCCAGGCCTCTCAAAGAAGTAGTCACTGCACCTGCTTGGTTTAATACTTTCATTCACGTGATTAATATTCGCTGGGGCCCTTCCAGGGATCCCCAAAGCATGCATCTCTGGAGCCCATGTTCTCACAGGAAGTCAGTGTCAGCAGTGTTCACATTCATCACGCAATGTGGTGCCCCTGCCAGCTGCCTCTTCATTGGCCTTCCAGCCAGAGAGGCAAGCAGCCCCTCCCCATCCCTGTGGGGATGTCGGTCTGAGTGACGGAAGGCATGGTCAATGCTAATTCTGAGTATGGTCATCTTTGCCTTCTGCATGTCATTCTTCTTCTTCTGGCTGCTGGCTGAGGCTCGTGTGTGTGTGTGTGTGTGTGTGTGTGTGTGTGTGTGTGTGTGTGTGTGTATACACCGTTTGCACTAGCAGAACAGGGAGGGGTGGAGGGGTGGGAAGTGGGGACTAAGCCAATGCTACCCAGCCACAGCCCACAACCTCGACAGCTAATGCTTTGAGCTTTATTACTCCTCTTTTTTTCTCGGCGGCTACATGTCCATGAGCACGTGTGTGTGAGCCCAAGTACATCTTGGAAGCTGAGCAGTCGGTCAGCTGCAGTTCACGCCGGCGTCCTCACTGTGAGCGCAGTTGTGGGAGCCCCATTCCCTTGTCATGCAGTTTATCAGGCTCCTCTCTGTCCCACTGCATGAAAGGTCATCCAGCCAGATGGGCCCAGTGCCTGCAGAGATGGCAGAGTGGGAGGAAGTGGGGTTAGACAGGAAGCAAAGCGGTAACATGGTCCCTGGGAGCTCTCAGCAGGCTGGCAGGTTCATTTCTGCCCCAGTCCTATGGCCCCAATGTGTTACTAGCTAGTTCCGTGCTTTGTGACAACTTTGATTCCCTTCAGTTCCCTACTTTAGATAAAAGCCTCATTGATATATTCAGTCCTTAATCTACATGCGGTTTGAAATATCTTCTTCTCAGTCTTCTATTTTCTCTTCAAATGCCACTTTTTAAAAGAAAAGATTTATTCGTTTGGAAAGCAGAGCAGCTGAGCGAGAGATATTTTCTATCTACTAGTTTATGTCTCAAATGTCCACAATAGTCTAGGTTGGGCCAATGGATGCCAGAGCTCCATCCTGGTAGCACATGTGCATGTCAGGACCCCCAGTATTCGTGTCATCCTCTGCTGCTTTCCAGGTGCATTATCAAGGAGCTGGATCAGAAGTGGAGCAACTGGGACTTGCACTGGCACCTATATGTGATGCGGGGGTCACAGGTGGCAGCTTAACCTGCTGTACTCCTAGGTCAGTCCCTCAGATGCCTTTTAACCTTGTCATTCTGCTTCTTCAAGGCATTCACACTTCTCTCAAACAGCCACAGAGGCAGGAGTCTGGTGAACCAGTCAAAATTTAGCCTGAAATACTTTGTCCCACAATAGAATGTCTGATTTGTGGCCTTTCTCCTCTGCGTCCTGCTACAGAACCTGGGAGGCAGCAGATGCTGGCTCAAGTATTGGGGTTCCTGACACTCGTGTGGAAAACAAAACAAAACTGGATTGAGTTCTGGGTTCCTGATTTCAGCCTGGTCCAGCACCAGTACTTGTGGATACTTGAGGAGAGGGACCCAGCAGATGGAAGATTTTCTCTCTCTCTCTCTTTCTCTCTCTCTCTCCCTGCCCCATACTCAAATAAACAGAAAACACATGGACACCTTTCCCAAGCTTATCATAGCTGAGTCTGCTCTAATCTGCTTTCTCTTTCCTTCCTACCTGTTCTTGTAAGAACTGAGGCTGCTGTTGGATCCAGGCTTCTGGTTTCCAGTCTGGTCGTCCACACCTGCCTTAGCCTCTGCTATTTCCATCCAGTCTGGCACCCAAGCTGCCCCTTGAAAGACCAGTCTTACTTCCAGCAAACAACCTTGTACACATGGCATTTGGACTCCAGCACTAGACAGGCCTTGTCCCCCACCACGTCAGTCAGAGCTCTGGTTCAGCCCAGCAGCCACTGATGGGGAAAACAGGATGTCTCTCTTGGGGTGGCCAGACTGAAGGCAGAGATGCTCAGAGCCCCGAGTGGCAGGAAATTTCAGCTACTTAGATTCCCTACTTTAGTTTTCTTAGAAGAAATCACTCTGAGTGCCTTTCAACCCAAGGGCACATCAGGCCTGCAAGGTGTCTGAGAGGCGCTGGCTGGTGAGTCACTTACCTCCTCCGTAACTGGCAATGGCCCTTCCAGAAGAGAAACCCAGCATGCGGCAGAACACGGTGGCATCAGCATCTTCCCAGCCATCATCACAAATGGTCCCCCATTGTTGATTATAGTAAATTTCAGCCCGGCCTCGAGTTCTGCTGCCAACAATTCTGACCAATACATAGGATTCACCTGGAGGCGGGGATGGGGGAAATGCATATGGGGGTGATGAAGAAAGCACCTTAGGAAATGTGTGAATCCAGCATTTTCCTTCTCATTTTCAGAGTCTACAGTTAGGGAAAAGAACCCCTCTTTTCTCCCCACTGCCCCGTGCCTGCTCCTTGCTTGGCATCACTTGAGCCTGCAAGAATCCCACTCCTGACACCAAAGTAGGCTGGAGCACAGCCTCTGTGTCCATGGGCTCCCAAGCGTGAGGATAAAGGATCAGGTGCCCCCTGTGGCTAGGCTTGTCACTTCTGTGGACAGGAGAAGGTGAAGGGTGAGGAAAGGAGGAACAGATGCAAAGGAGAAGAGAAGGGAGAGGGGAAAGGTGGGAAGGAGGAAGGCAAAGGAAGCTGTCACTCTGTGTCTTCAGACCGTGTTCAAGTCTATTCAAAACAGAACTCCAACAGCTTTTCCAAAACCGATGAAAACTTTCTTTGATAACCAAGTTATCTGTCCCCAACATACACACACACACACACACACACACACGCGCGCGCACACACACATTGAACTATAACAAATCAAAGGGAAAGGAAAGTGGCAATTACCTTTTTGCCCTTTCTCTCCCTTTTCTCCTTGCAGCCCAGTAGATCCTGCAAAAAATCCACACAATGTTAAAGAAGCTCAGCCAGGACACTCTTCTCCACTCTTTGCCAGCAGTGACTGGTCTGTCTGTCCATTCTAGCTTCACCTGTGACCAGTGTAGGGATGATTAAGCAAGAGGACAAGAACATGGGCTCTAACGGGAAGGGTATCAGTTAGACTATGGAGGGAAGCTGGGCCCACCAGAGACACGGGGTGGAACAGGAGCATTTCCTTCATGCCAAGATCTGGTTGGTTGTGGAAACTGGGGTGGCCATGGGCACAGGTGGGCAAGGCAGGGGTGGGAGCCTGCCAAGACTAGACTTAACTCACTACTGTGTGCTCTGAGCCCAGGACAATTCTCAGCATGAAGTGCCCGCTGAATGAACACGTCTCTGCCTGCTGAGGTTCTGAAAAAACCCCAGGCTGCCAAGAAATGGGGGGAGGTTCTTGCCTCAGGACCCACAAGTCAGAAGCAGAGCCTTACCTTTCTGTCCCGGCTCTCCCTTCCGGCCAACAGGTCCAATGTTTCCTTGAAGGCCTGCCAGTCCGGGGCTCCCCTTGTCTCCCTTCAAACCTGCAGGACCTAGGAAAAAGGAAGCCACTTCCATCAGATATTTTGCCTTGGTCTGGCATGAATTATTTGTCCTGAACGTGTCCCTGCAAATAGGTAGTTGGAGCCTTTCTATGTATCTTTGATCTGGAGCATAGAAAGGCTCTCAGAGGCATACGAAACAGCTGGCAGAATCCCAGCAGTGGGTAGTCCTCAGCCAGTTACATTCTTTGTGCCCAAGTTGTTGTAGCTGTCCTGGGAGAATATGCTAGAATGTTTCTAGGCCTCCACACAACCTTTAGTCAATTAAGGTCTTCATAGAATATATAGTTAGTAAAAGAGAAAAAATGTCATGAGAGGAGCTGGTCTTGGTGCAATGGTTCCAGTGCTCGATATTAGAGTTCCTGGCTCAGGCTCCAGCTCTGCTCCCAGTTCTCCATTCCTGCTAATGTGCACCCTGCGAACAAGCAGGAATGGTCACAAATGGCTGGATACCTGCTGCCCACAGGGGGGACCTGCAGGGAACTTCTGCCTTTCGACTTTCATCTGGCCTAGTTCTAGCTCTTGTTGGTGATGGGATCTCTCTCTCTCTCTCTCTCTTCTCATCTCCATTTCTATCATCTCTATATCATCTCCATTTCTCTATCTCTGTATCGTCTCTGTCTGTACCATCCCCATCTCTTGCTCTCTGCCTTTCAAAATAAACAAAGAACTTAAAAAAAATAAGCTGTGAAATGTGTCTGCAACATTTTGCTTCAGTGCTCATTCAAGCCTAGCTGTTGGGCAAGCCACACACTCTGCTGTGAGTTCCCAGATCTATCAACAACTCAGAGCAAGGGCTGGGGAGGTGGGGATGATGGTGAGGATGATAATGATGATGACAACTTAATGAGAAGCAGCAACAGGAGGAGGTGAGGGGCTAGAGGGGTCCAGAAGTGGTAGGAAACGGTTGGAGCAGAGTTCAGGACAGGATGGAGATGAACTCACTTCACAGTGGATACACAGCCTGACGCTGCCCCTTGCACCTGACAAGTGTGACCCTTTGCCATCCCCTATCTCTGCCCCGACAGACTACAATGGCTCAGGATGCCTGATACGCTCTGGGTTGTCCAGGGAAGGGATTCAGGCTGGGGAAGAGTGAGACCGAGTCCTGGAATCTCAGCGCAATTAGATGGGGAAGGTCACAGTGGTTACTGAGTAGGCAGGGCCCGCCCGGCCAGCACGCAACCCGCTGTCGTCATTAGCCCAAGAAATTAAACTGAAACCACCTCTGTACCTGGGACTCCTGATTCTCCTTTTGTTCCTTTCTGTCCTTGAAGTCCTAAGATCAAAACAAAGAAAAGGAAGGGGGGAGAAGATAATAAAACTTAGATATTAGACACTTTTAATCTTACAGAACCTCTACTTCTTGTCTGATTAATGCAGACGGAAAGATACATCGGTTTGCTTCGATTGCTGAAAACCTCTTTCACGGAGCATAAAGGAGACAGTGTGCCATGCAGATGAATGGGGTTGGGGGTGTTGGGCTGATGCAGCAACATGCTGGATAAAGCTGCTGATCTGGACACACCGCATTTTGCCCACCTGGCTCTGGGGTTTGAATCCCACCCTGTTACTTTGCTATTACTTTTTATTGGAAGTGGCTGGGGAGATATTTTGACTAGGAAGTGGCCCTCTTTTCTAAAACACCAGGGTCTCAGAGGCCCACAGGAGTTCACCTGTGGCAGGTGGTTGGTGTATTTTGTTGTGGGCCCCCTGTGTGGTTAACGATTCTTACTGGCTAAGGGGTCTCAGGCCCTTTAATGCTCCTCTTCATAGTTCACATACCCCTCCCTCCTGCCCCTCTCTCCTCCTTTCCTCTCCCCCATCCCTTCATTGAGAGTGGGCTTTGGTGGAAGACCTGCTGTCCCCAGAGCCCTGCTGGGTCATTGTGGGGGCAAAAATGTGTGCACTCAGCGTCCTGCTCTCTGCATCTTATGCACCAATACTGATTTGCACACAGAGTCACGGGACTCCCCAAGAAAGTTGCCCAAACTTGAGTCAGTGCAAGCCCAGGATTATGAAGCAACAGTTTGCAGAGGAGAACTAGAGGAATGTGTCACACCTGGAGCTGAGCCCTTAACCCTCTTCTCTCTTGACACAGCCCAACACTGACTGAGATTCACCCTCCCATGTTCACTAGAGCCAGCTCCCTTTGCTCCATGATGCTGGTTTGGACACAGTCCTTCTTGAGCTGCCCCCTCCATCTTCTCCTTGACCATCTTAAAATCCCTCCTGGATGCTGGTCAACAGAGAGCAAAGCAAAGGGCCTGGGAGGACTCTTCTTGGAATAAGAGCAAGAAATGTTTTGACTGATGTCCAGATCTCCAGTGGGTGCTGCTGGGTGAGGTGGGGGGGAGGTGGCTGGTCAGAGAGCCAAGCGGAGCAGGAGGCACTGGAAATCCTGATACTGCAGCCCTCTGGTTTGAGGAATTGGGTCAGAAGAGAGGCTGGGTTGGGTTCTTCTGAGTGCTGCTGGTGCCTCCAAGGTCAGGCTGGCCCCAGCTTCCCTAAGCCATTTGCACATGCTCTGCTCCCCGTTATTCAGTACATCCTCCTCTAGTCTACCCGCAGTACTGTGGTTTGGTCTGTAAGTCCTACAAGAAGTCATATAGAACCTGGAGAAGACTTCCCATGGATGACACACTGTTTCCCAGGGCAGGAAAGAAAAAGTGGTCAGGGCATCAAAAGGCTTAAACTTGAGCCCACCTCAGCCTTGTACTGGCTTTGTGAGCTTGAGCCTCAGGTCCCTGCAGGCTCTGCCTTCTGACTCCAGCCTCCTGCTAACGTATACCCTGGAAGGCAACAGGCAATGGCTCAAAATGTTGGGTAAGCCCAGACTGAATTCCTGGATCCCAGCTTTGTCCAGCCCCTAGCCATGTCAGACATTTGGGAAGTGAATCAGCAAACTGGAGCAGATGCGCTGTTCCGTTCCATCCTTCAGCTACCCTGTTTGGGAGTATTGGCTTCCTGCCTTGTGGAGGAGGAAGTTGGCACTCAGCGAAGGATGGTGATGTAGCCAAGATGACACTGGAAGGGACGGTGATTCAGGTTGTACCTCAGGCTCAGCCTCCAGCTCTGCCATGAAGCTCACCCTTCCCTACACCTCCACTCATGTTGTTCTCTCCATTTTCTGTTGGCCAATCAATTGTCTCTCCTACAAGGGGAGTAATTGACCCAGAGTGTGCATCATCATCATAAGCCTGGGGAGGGCATTTGGCCCAGCAGTGAAGATATCCCTTGAGAGACCTGCCTCCTACATCAGAACGCCTGGGTTCCAGTAGAAGCTCTACTTCTGATACCAGCTTTCCGTTCATGCATTCCCTGGGAGGCAGCAGGGGATGGCTCAGTTGAGTTCCTACCAACTGTGTGAGAGACCTGGCTTGAGCTCTGAGTTCCTGGCTTCTGCCTGATCAAGTCCTAGCTGTTGTGACCATTTCAGAAGCAAATCAGTGGATTGGAAATGTGTGTATGTGTGCACACTTGCGTGTCTTTCTAAATATCTTCCAGCTAGAATGAAATCAATGCATAAAAAACATCACTTGGATGAGGCCTGTTAAAGATAAACAACTTATGAGGCTTCCACCCAGAACTGATGTCTTGGCCGTGACAAGGGAACTCATCTGCATTGCAAGTAAGTCCCCAGGAGAAGCTGACAATTGGTCCAGTGGCCATGCTTTGAGTGGCACTGGCCTGAACGAATCTCATTCCTGTTCTAGGGGCCAGCTCACACCTCACCTCCTCCAAACAGCCCTCAGCTCTCTGCAGCAGTGCATGCCTCCTGCCAAATCTGAGTTCTCCCAGAACCTGGTTCACAGAGTGGAGAGGCCTCCTGATCTGTGTTTCCTGGGTGTCAGTGTCGTCTTCAGAACTTCCGACTGCAGGAGGAGCAAGCAAGTTTAGTTTTACATGATTTTCTTCTAAGACCCACTGGACTCTTAAGAAGTCTTTGGCTGAGTGGCTGTGTATTAACTAATTGATCTAGGGACTTGTCATTACTTTGCTGTAAATCAAGCATCAGCTCCTGCACATTAGAGGAAAATTAGCTCAAAGCCAGGGCCAAAAAGGCATATTCTGAAATGACACTGGAGAAAGATTGGTCAGGTCAAGCTGTCATTTGGAGCCCTGCTTCAAATTCTGGGTTTACCCAATATTTTGAGTTGAGTCTGTTAAATTAAAAGGTAAATCTTCCTCTTGCTTAGGGCTTAGCTGAAGATCGGTCTGGCTAAACTTTAGATTGTTCCAAGTCGAAGGGGAAATGATCTGTTTTAAACCCACAATGCTGCTGGGCTCACTGGAGGCTGGTCATTCTTTAGTAGGACTCACATACCAAAGCAGAGGGAATTGAGGCCCTTAGAGGTCAAGTCCTTGCCCATCCATGGTCATCCAGCCAGCCAGTAGCAGGTCTGGGTGGAGGCTTAGGTGTCATGATGCTAAGTTACATGTAGATGTCTCTAGAATGTTGAGAGCCTCTTAGGTAGGTGTAGTCTGGACATTCAGGAGTAACCTTATTAAATGAGTAATTGAGCTGACGGGTAAGAACAAAGTTGATGGCTAAACTACCCCAAATCAGGAAGTGTGGAGACCTCGGCAGGTACCTCTAAGAAACTGAAAGTGAGGAAGGAAAAGTGACAACTTCGTAATCTGATTCTGTAGCATTTAATGATTTCTTGAACCACCTCTGTACTTAGATATGGGAAATGGAATTAGTTGAGAAATCGCATCCATGATACGGGGCTTAACTGCTCTGTGGATTATCTTTGCTGTTTATCTTTAAAAAGTAAAACATCTTAAAATCCAGATGAGAAAATGGATTATCAAGTTATTCTCACCTTGGTTTTGACTGTAGGGGTGGGGGAGGGAGACAGCTTAGAAAACCCAGATTGTTATAATTTAAAGACTAGAGACCAACTTTTTCGTTAGATTTGTGTTTTGCAGCATAAATGTTCTGAAAGTCCTTGCTTCATTTCCAACTCGACGTTTCAAAGTCACTGAGGGATGCAGGCTGGAATTTGGTTATTCTTGTGCAGTTGTCTCAGAGAGAAAAGGAAGAAAGAAAGCTAAATTGGGAGGGGGGGGGTTGGAATGAAGCCTGACATTGTCACAGACTGAAGTTGAGAATGTTTTTGCTGAGTGTCTGCCCTGCTGAATAGGTGTGATATTTATCTTCTCTCCATTTTCTTCCATCTGAGAGGGGGTCTTGCCCAGCAAAGGGGGCTAACCAGGCTAGCCAGTCCACTTAAGAGAGCCAGGAGACATATTGGTGACTGTTGCTAATGGTAGGAAGGTTTGGGGACTGAGCCATGAGTTAATGCTACTGTGACGGGCGAGACTGTATATGGTGCCGGCTGCTCTAGAGTAATCTTGGATGTTATTTGATACAACACAATGGAATCATTGCTTGTGATTCTCTACAACAACCTCTGGCAAATCACGGCTTTGAAACTAGACTTTGAGATCAATTCCTGGATCAACTCCGGACCCTGAGAAGCACAGGGTCTGTCTGCCCTTTCTGAGCCTCTATGTCAACACTTGGCAGTTGGGGGTAAGGGAGTGTGAAATTAGCTTGTGGGTGAATAAAGTCCCCAGCCTAGAGCCTGTCCTAGAGGCACTGCTGGTAATGCAGGCACCGCCCCTTTTCACAAGTCATCAACGCAAGATCTTGGGTGAAATCCAGTTGTCACCCTGGTCAAGCCAGGGGGACTCTCCATCACCATCTAAAGTGGTTAGATAACTCTATGGAGAGTAATGATTCTGTTTACTGAATGGGAAACACATCCACTTGAAAACCTAGCTTGTTGTGTATCCAAAAAAGATAATCACCACGGCAGCTTCAGGTCAGGGGAATACCAAGACCCTGACATTGCTGAGTGTGTGTGATTGATTTCCATGATGGGAAGACCCAGCTACTGCCTGCTGCCTCCCCTCGTTCTCCCACTTAAAACAGTTGCAATCCAATCTCTCCAGGAGTCCATTACCCCACAACTGTAGGACAGTATCCAGACCTGGCTAAGAAAGACCAGGCCCATTATGGCACCATGGGCGGTCTCCTCTGAGATGGTCATGTAGACTGCGAGCAAGATTTTGAACTTGGGTGAAAAGCCTGTGCCATCATATATGACTGGTAATTATCAAATGCTCTCAATCAACAGTGTAGTTCATCATGCTTGTTTGGGCTGCTAGAATTTGCAAGTCACCCCTAAGGCCTAGCCAGGACACTCAAGGCTTCCCAGGAACCCTGATAACCTCAGGGCCTTGGGTTCAAGGGGTCCTGGCAGAGAAAGGTGCCTAGCTTAACTAGGGAGCCTCACAGACCAGAACCCTGCCTCTGTAGGCTTCAGGAAGGCCCCCCCCTTATCCATCTTGGCACCCAGGAATACCTCCCCTAAACATACACACACATGCACTCACATACGACCACACCCTGTTACCTGTGTCCCCTTTGCTTCCTTTTGGTCCTGCAGCTCCCGGAGTACCTGGGCTTCCTGGGTCAACACAGAGGGCATAAGAGCCAGGCCATACCTCTCTTTCTCTCCCCCTGTGACCCAATCAGGACCCAGGACCTCACCTGGTAGCCCCTTGGAGCCAGTGATGCCAGGCTCACCCTTGGGACCTGAGGGCCCTGCAATGCCAGGGATGCCTGGCGCTCCAGATGCTCCAGAGTGTCCTGAAAGGAAAGGGCAAGGTTGGGGGCTGTCAGCACAGGCCCTGCTGTCTGACTTCCCCACTCCACCTACCCCCCCGCAACCCAGCTGGCTGAGAAATGCCACATCAGCCTTCAGGGCCTCCCAACAGGGGCCAGGGCTTTTACATACCCCAGATATTATAAGATTAAAACAATAGCAAAATGCAAGGTGATGGATTTAGGTTCTGGACTTGACTTCACCCTAGGCAGTGGTAGCTGGATTGGCCCACAGTACTCACCCTGATCTCCTTTGGCTCCAGGCATTCCAGCCAAACCTGTAATGAAGAAGAAAGTTCAGAAATTTCCTCCCAGCATTTGGCTTGGTCTTGCCAGAGAAGTAAGGCAACACTTGCACACGAAGGGTCTCTTACCTGGTGGGCCTGGCTTCCCAGAGTCACCTTTAGCTCCTGGGGCTCCAGGGGGGCCCATGGCTCCTGGGTCTCCTTTCATGCCTGTGGTCCCTTTGCTTCCTGAAAAAGCAGGGAGTCATTGTCAGGCCTGGGAGGTGTTTCACCTGCATTCCAAGTTCAGGACTCTTCAAACTCCTGCTTCCCTGGTCCCAGGAATTGAAAGGGCAGGCTTGCCTTGCCTCAGAGAAAAGACACAAACTGGCGAGAAGCTGGTGGTGAAGCTGTGGAACTGGGCACAGCTGATGGGTCAACAGGAAGGTCACACAGCTGGACTCTCGGGACCCTGGTCAGGGAGGGCCCGTAGCTGACTCATCTAGCACTGTCCATCTAATGTATTGTACTTCATTTCGTTTTATAAATGTGTGCATTTCTTTCACAAGAGAGAGAGAGATCTTCTACCTGCTGCTTCACTTTCCAGATGCCTGTAACAGTGAGGGCTGAACTCCATCCAGCTCTCCCATGTGGGTGGCAGGGACTTATGTGCTTGAACCATCATCTGCTCCATCACAGGTGCATTAACAGGAAACTGGATCAGAAGTGGAGCAGCTGAGACTTGAAGTGACACTCCCAGTATAGAAAGATTAGCATCCCAAACAGAAATTTAACCCACTATACTACGGCAACATGTCCCACACTCTCCCCAGACACTTAGCTCATTTTAGGGGAAGACTTTAAGTCTAACTCTGAACATTCTAGAAAGCAGGTCCCCATGCCTAGACTTAGTAGCTCTGAGGCACAGATGGAGAGAAAGCATCGTAACACCTCCTTACTCCTGCCAGTCCGCCCAGCCCAAGGCTTTCCTTGTGCCCAAGATTTCAAATTTTCCACTTGTTATCAGCATGCAAGGTTCATCCAGCCTGTCCTCTCCTGAGTCCTCCCTGGCTTCCCTCCTTCTCTCCTGTGTGTCTGGTGCATATCAATCAATGGAGGCTCCTGTTTCCCAAACTCTGAGTTAGAGAAGGGGCTGTACTGCCCTCGGCAGCCCCACCATAGGGGCTGTCTCTACCCAGCAAGCAAGCTTGCTGGCATTCAGGAAATTGTTGATGCCTAAATCCACACCCCTGGGACTCCCTGAGCTGGGTGAGGCATTAAGGAGAAAGGGCTTCCCCCTCAGACAGCCTCCCGGGCCTTCAAGGGATGGAATGGTGTTTGAAACAATGGCTGCTCCATGCTGCCTTTAGGTAAGACTGGAGCTGGAGAGGGTTCAGCCTTCCCTGCAGTGACTTGGAGAAGAGCATTGCTGAGAGTGAACTCTGGGTGAATTTGGATACAAGGCTTGGGAATCAGGCTCTCCAGCATGGTTGGATCTTGGAGGAAGGAGAGTCCTTCGTTGGAAGCCAGATCAATCACAAAGACCTCTGTTCCAGTTAAGGTCTCTTAAAAGAGCCCATGGTGCTCCTGGTGGAAGGGACAGGGGATGTCACCCTTGAAAAAACTGCTCAGTGCATTTTGCTCCAGGCCACAGAGTGGGTGGTAAAGCAGGATGAGATTTTGCAGAGTGGTCTAGCTTGCATTGGTTCTGCTGGAACTTCCAGGTCCTTAGTGAGAGGGATAGTTTTGGGGAAAGCAAGGCAAAGTCATAGCAGTGAGAGAACCTGGCTCAGGCCCCCATTCATAGAAGTACAGCTCCTTCTGACCACTTATACAATCACAACCAAGAGATGGAGGAGGAAGACAGGCTTTCTGCAGGAGGTACCCCCAAGCTCTGTCCTGGTGACATGGCTGAGTTCCTGGGGCCAAGGGTACAGGGCAAAGCAGCTCCCTGGGGTGAGGTCTCTCTTGGCTGTAGTGGCCCCACGCACTGGCAACGGATGGGGCAAGCTTCAGGAAGCAGCAATCTCATGGTCTTGCGAGAGGAAATTATGGAAGAGGAGGGGTTGGCTGGGCCTCTGCTTTCTGAAGAACTGAAACCAGTGTCTTTCCCCTCAGCACCACAGGGCCCCCAGGCCTGTGGCTGAGTGAGGATTCCACGTCTTCCTTTAGCTCCAGCGTCAGGAGTGGAAATGGCATGGTGGCATGGACTGTACCAGCTGCAGGCTCCAGAGCAAGGACCCAGCTCTTGGCCCGTCTCTGTGGCTGGTGACACGCCCTTGGGAATGTGGAACCTCCCATCCCCATCCACAGACTCATAGGAGGCTGACTCTGGGACAAGTCTCAGACTCTGGGAGGTGACATGTGCCTTGAAAGCAAGCATTTTCAGTCTCTTATGCTGCACATAATTTCTAAGTGATGTTGTATAACTTATACTCTTGCTAGTGGTATCCCTTATTTTCGCCTTCATTGAGGTGAAGTAGGTTAAACCACACCTGCATCCCATAAGGATGCTGGTTTGAGTTCTGGCTGCTCCACTTCCCATCCATCCAGCTCCCTATTAGGGCTTGGGAAAGCAGCAGAGGATGGTCCAAGCACTGGGGCCCCTGCACCCTCATGGATGATCCAGATAAAGTTCATGGGGCCTGGTGTTGTCCTAGCCCATCCCAGCCAATCTCAGTCAACGGAAAATGAAAGAGCAAGTGGAAGATCCTCTTTCTCTCTCTCTCTCTCTCTCTCTGTCTCTCTCTGTCTCCATGTGTGTGTAACTCTACCGTTTACATAAATAAACCTTAAACAAAAATACATTTATTGCTCATCAAGGAGCATGGTATTCTCCTCTTATAAGTGACTGAGCTGAAGCTCAGAGAGCTGAAGTCATTGGCTAAAACCTAGAACACATAGCCTTTCTTTTCTACCTCACAGGAAAGCTACCACCACTACTATTACTATCACTGATAACAACTCATATTTATTTGGTATCTGCCATAGGACAAACAGTTTGAAAACAGCCTCCAAACCCAGCAAAATACATGTGATATAATTACCATCATGTTAGTTGAGAGACCGTCACCCTTGCACCTGCTCACATAGATGAACAAGATGTGGTACAGGGATGGAAGCTGAGCCATCCACACGTGGCTCACTACCACTGCACAGGGCAGCGATCATGGCTGGATAGCCAGAGGCCAGGAGATGAGGGACAGGAGGAAGCTAGGTCAAATCCACAGCCACTGGGGTGGCATTTCTGAGTGGGAGGCCTTGGCTTTCAAGGTCAGAGTCCTCTAGGGCATTTAAAACAGATTCTTGGACCCAGTCCCCACTGGTCCTCACCCATGGCCACATAGTTTAGATCACGTGCTGTCAGTAGGGGATCCAAGTGCCTGAGGTCCCCCTTCTGGTATCAGCCTTCTTACCCTCCTCATACAGGCTTATCCTCAGTCTCGGGTCCTACCTAAGCTCCTCCACCCCACAGTTCACCACAGCAAGGAATAAGCGATACCAGAAATGGCAGTGTCCTCTGTCCTCTTTGGTACAGTGTATTCTGCCCTCTGCTCACCTGGAGATCACACTTGGTGCCTGGTGCAGGCTGTGCATGGCCATGCCTTGAATGGGCACTGAGCAGGCCAGGCTGACACCCCCGATGCAGCCCTTACCTGGGAGGCCGGTGTCTCCTTTGTCACCCTTTGCTCCTGGTTCCCCTTTAGGGCCTATGAGGCCCCCACTGCCCTGGCTGCCTTTCTCTCCCTTTTGCCCTGGGGAACCTGCAAAGAAAAGGGAAGTGAGAAGCATGTCTCTATGCTCCAGGGGGACAGGAAATGTTACACAGAAAAGGGAAAGGGGTCTTTATGGGGAGTTTGGGGTTCCTATTAGCTCATCTCTTGGGTGGTCATGATGAGGGAGAAGGTTCCAGAGAAGATAACTGGCAAGGGCATGACCCAGTGGGACTGGGGAAGGGCTGTGGAGAGGGGACACGGAAGGGCAGTTGCTCCAGGGCCCCGAGCAGGGATCACTGACTCCACACAAGGGAAGCTCCCATTACCAGTGGCTCCTGACATCCCTGGTGGACCTTGGGGTCCTTGGAATCCTGTAAAGGAGAAAGAATGGCTCGGTCACTGTGACTTGGGCTAAAGCAGTCCATATTCCAGAGCCCCTGAGGTGGTCAAAGCACCCAGCAAGAGAGCCCTCACTCTTTGTCTCCATCTCTCTTTCATAGACACGTATTACATGTATATGCCCACTCACATACACACCTTATTTGCACACACATGCACGCATACACATGTGGCCATGCATACACACACACAAGCATGACAGTCTTCAATAGATCAATGCAATGTTCACTTTCTTCCTATAACTGAAACAGCCTGGGAATGTGTCCTATGCGGCAAATGCAAGAAGACTTCAGAAAAAGCATATCAGCGTGAGTTGCAGCTCTGCATGCCATGGGCTGGACAACTGTGAAAAGCTACCGGAGGAGTACACACACGGATTTTTTCATATATAAAATGGACCTGGCAGTGACCACCTAGTCCTGGGCAGGTGCCTCATTCATGATCCAGGACAAAAGAGGACTTGAGAGATGATGTGTCCCTCCACTTGGCTCAGACATCCTAGGCCAGCCTGTGGAGCTCAGACTGGAGATGCCGGGCGTCCTGGAGGGTGGGGTGGGAAAGGCTGAGGGTCCTGTGGAGGAGAGGGACAGGAGCAGCACAGAGCTGCTGTGAAGGGAAATTGCGGGGGGGGGGGGCGGGGTACAAGAGGGAGTATGAGAAAGGAAAGAAAGGAGAGCAGAAGATGAAGGGGCTAGCCTGAGAGAGGCCCAATTGCGAGTTGCTGGGTACACAGCTACACTGGCTGGGTGGGTGGGTGGGGTCACAGATGTTCCAGAAGGGGGTGGGAGGCACCATTATGCTCTGGGCTCCCACATTCCCCATGCAATCCCTGCAGCCTGCATCTTGGTTCTCTGTGTTATGTGAATGATATCCATGGAGGCCTGGGGCTAAAGGCAGGGTAATGGGTGCCAGTGAGTCTGCACAACCGTGCTTGGAACCCTGGGTGACAGCCTGTGCTGCATGCATGCTGGCCAGCATCCTACAGAGGAAGGAGGCTTCAGGTTCCCTTCACTCTGGAAGGTTGTGCCTGAGCTCCTCAGCTTCCAGCTCGTCCTTTGGCACAGATCTTGGCATCTCCCAAGTAGAGAGTTGTGGACCACTATCTGCCTCTCCCCCTCCCATCCCAACAACTTCTAGCCTCTGAAGGAGCCTGCCCTTCTTTGAACTCCCCAAGGTTGCGAGTGAGTTTGTGCAGAGTGTGTGTGTGTGTGTGTTGGGGGTGAGTGTAAGCAAACACTTCTGTGCACACATGCGCACTGGCACATGAGGCTGAGGTTGAGCATGCACTGGTGCACATATGCCCCTCATTTCCTGGAAACCCCCTCCTTCTGGTCTTGAACAGCCTCTGGGAAAACTCTGCTGGAGACAGACCAAGTGCTGCCAGGGGTCCATCCTACCAAATTTCTTCCCAACTTGACTCCTCAAGGGAGATTTTCCCTCCTTGGAAGAGTCCGTTCTGTAGCCTCTGTCATTTACTCTGCCTCAGCAGGCTGGGAGCTTAAAAGCTGCCAGTCTGTCTTCATCTCCTTCCTTGCAAATCTCTGCCTTGCTCTGTCTCTGGCAAGGGTCTTACTGTCTTAAATCTTTGCATCTCAGCAGCCCCAACCCCTCAGGGACTGAAAACACAGGGTCCCAGTGCAGGACAGAGTGGATTGTAACAGCTGCAGAACCTGCTGTCCCTGCGGAAGGCTCTGAGAACCTTCCCAGTCCCATTTGCACCTGACAGAGCCATGCAGGTGGTAGCTGTTTATCAAAGGATTGGGCGGGTTTAAGTCATAGCCTAAAACCACAAAAACTAATGCTTTCCCAGTAACCATGATGGACCTTTGATCAGGATTGCCAATGCCCTCAAAATACTCTTGCAGCATTTGTACTTCGTTTTATAGACAGAGAGACTGAGATTCACAAAGGTAGGGGAATGCCATCAGGGTCCCAGAGACAAGTAGAACTACTGTACCCATCTCTGTTGGACCAAGAAGCTTGACTTCTCATGTCTCACCAGTGATGTGCACACATAGACTTGGTACCCAGCACACAGGAGATTGGAATTGCATCTACACTTATCTCTCCCACTTGGGCAGAAGTGCCATCTCCCTTCCAATCAGCTCACAGTTGCCATCACGCTGGACTGCTTCTCCTTGGTGGTGGCATGGGGTTGGGGGATGTCTGGACCCCATTCTGGTTTCCTGGCTGGAGTCTGCTGAGAAAGCCAGCTGGGTGGATAACCCTGTGCACACACCTAGCCACTACTCACCTTTCTCTCCCTTGATGCCAGCTGGGCCTTGGGGACCTGGTGGGCCTGAAAGGAAAAGGAAATTTAGAGCACAGCCTGGACAGCCTGTGGAGACAAAGCTTTGCCGGGGGAAGGAGACAGTGGCCATACCTGTGGCTCCATTGTCTCCAGTGGCACCCTTAACTCCTTTCTGGCCAGGAGAGCCAGGTAGGCCAGGTGCACCCTGGGCCCCCTTTGGACCTGGGAGATAGAAGACAGAGGGGCAGAGACATGAGTGAGTCATCCTACAAGAAGGAGTGAAAGTTGAGATGAATCATTCCACAAACTGCAGAAGGAAGAGGATTAGGCCCAGCTCCTTCCCACTACAAGTTCATGGCCTGGAAGGCAAAAGAACTTTGAAGAGAGGCTGAGACACATTGGCTGGGGTTCAAATCTAAGCCACATCAGTTCTCTCATTCTGTTGAACCAAGCTTCCTCACCAGTGAATGAGTTCTATGTGAAAGTTATGCAGCACAGTGCCAGGTCCTGTGGTATGACTGAATCCCTCAAAACCACACCATGACCAAGCTGCTCTGTTCCCCAAACAGGAAGGTCAATGAGGGTGGGGCTCCTTATGTCTGGATTGCTGGAGCCTACCTCAGCCTCACCCTTAGATATATTTCAACACGGACTTTGGGTGGAGGGAGGAAGAGGAAGGAAAGATGTCTGGGGCAGGGATGGGAAAGGGGAGAGGTTGTTTCTACCATCCTAAATATGTCCAGGAGGCTTGGGTCAGGTCAGGGAGCCACCTATTAGCCATGGCTTCTATCCCAAACTTGTGACACACCCAGCCCTCCACTTCTCCTCTCTTATTTGTCTCTATAGGGTTTTGCCCCAGACTTGGCTTTTGGGTAGGGTTGGAGAGTCTGACCAAGGCAGGGTGAGCTACAGGAAAGGGGAGAGGGAGATACTGGCTCCTGTGGGTAGCGGCACATTTAGGTACCCAAAGAGGAGCCTGAGGCTCCTGCAACTGTGTCTGCCCCAGATCTGGGGTGCAGGATGAGTGAGAAGAGAGACTGATAGACAGGAAGTCAGAGACTGGGAGACACGGGGAAATGGCTGGAGACAACCCATGGCCAGTCCCTGGCTTTACAACAGCTCGACATTGGACTGTTTAACCTTGCAATGGGTTTATCTGGTTATGAAGTTTGTTTTCGATACATGATGGGTTGAAAGCCCATCAGAAATTGAGGAATGTCTGTATGGAGAGAGAAGGAGGGTAGATATCGAAAGAGGGAAAATATATGGTAACATTTTTTAAAAAAATTATTTGACACAGAGCAAGTTCTCATTAACTGTTTCACTACCCCAAATGCAGGTAATGGCTGGGTTAGAACTGGGACAAGCCAAAGCTAGGAGCTAGGAACTCTGTCCAGGTCTCCTTCATGGATGTAAGGAACCCAACCACCAGAGCCATCACTACTGCCACCCTGGGAGCACATTAGTAGGAAGCTAGACCAGAAGCAGAGTTGGAACTTGAACTAGACACTCCAGTGTGGGATGCAGGCATCCCAACCTGTGTCTTAATTATCAGGCAAGATGTTTGTCCTGAGAGGGGCAGATGGTAAAGCTCAGACTCAGTCCACTGAGGTGAGAAGAGACCCGTGCTTGGATTCTATTGGAACAATTCCTCCAGAGGGAGAAACGGGTATTCACTAGGGTGGGATTGCTCAAGTGCAAACTCCTTTGATCTGTCCAACAACGTTGGCAGCGAAGGATAGCAGGAATAACATTATCAGGTATTGATTCTGTACCAAGCACTGCAGTAAGCTTTTCATATCCTCTCACCCATCCCAGGAAGGTTCTGTCATTATCCTCATTTGAGATGGAGGACATGGAGCTCAGAAATGGGAAGCACTTGCTAAAGCCACCCAGGTCATGGTGGGCACAGCCAGTATTCAGCCCTAATCATCTGAGGCCATCCACACTCCTGCAAAGCTACTGCAAAGCTCTCATGGCCATTGGCATGGTCCAGGCTACACTTAAACAAATCATGGATCCAATCATTCTGTCTCAAGAATATCACACTCATATTTGTCTTCAGGGTGGAATCCCTTGCTCTGTGCTGATGGATCAAACAGAGTTGTGGGTAGCATGTGCTGTCTGTGTGTGCCTGTGTGCATGCATATGTGTGACCGTGTGTGTACATGTCTGTGTGTAAATACACATGTGCATATGCACATGTGTGTTTTGTGTATACACATGTTCTCGTATGTACATTCTCTGTGTGTTCTCTGTATGCATATGCACATGTGTGTATTGTGTGTATTATGCATGTGTATTTGCTTGTGTGTTGTATGCATGTGTATGTGTGTGTCTGCGTGCATGAGCTTGTATGTGCATGCCTTGCACAGTAGTGTCTGCATATGTGTGCCTTGTATGTGCATGCATGTATATGTGCCTCTGTGCGTGCATGTAGGCCTGTGTGCATATGCACCTGTGCAGCTGCATGCACCCAAAGAGGCAGGCACAGGAAGTGAGGAACAGTGGAATGGCAAAGCAGCCATTGACCCTCTCCTTGTCTGGCATTGCGTGTGCCTTGTCTCACTTGAGTCTTTCACTGGCCCTGCGGGATAGGTCAGATGAGCTCCATTATCTTCTACACAGGTGAGTCTGAAGTAGACTTAGGGAACTGGCTCAAGGCCATCCGGTCAGTGAGACCTGAGATTTGAACTCGAGTCAGCCTAAAGGCTCAGTCTGCTCCTCTGAGATGTCACACCGCTTCCCATCATGACAATTGTCAGGGGCAGAGAAACTGGAGACCCACAGGGTGAACACAGGGCCTGGTGACAAGTGCTAAACTGCAGGGGGAAGACTTCTGGAAAGAGGGCTTCTGGAGATGAGGGCTGGAGGAGCTGTGCTGGGTGGATTCAGGTCGTGCTGACAGTCCTGGCATGGGGAGGCATCATTTCACACAGTGAGGAGGGGCTGGGAGTTAAGGCATGGCTAGGGGTGGAGGTGGGAGAACAGAGAGGAGATCTGGCTTAGGAAGAAGTCCTGAGGACCTGTGCAGGGTGAGTTTGGATTGAATTTGTTCTGGTCCCAGAATCCTCAGAGGGCACTGCCAGGGAAGGTAGGGTGCCTACCAGCAAGCAGAGCCACACCTACCTGGGGCACCTCGTTCACCTTTGATCTTCAACAGCTCTGCAAGAGAAGGAGAGCAGGTTGCAGGTTGAACTTTAAGAGAACCCTCAACTCCCCCTAACACACTTTAAGGGATCTACCAAGATCCACTTGTAGAGTCTGGGTCCACCCTCATCAGCAGGCAAGAGGTTTCTTCCGCATGTTCTGGTGGGGTGGGACTCCAAGAACTCTAGGTATTTTCAGGGAAAAGTCCTTATGTGGCCTGTGGCCTGAACACCATGGAAGTTAAAGCTGGCTGAACACACCAGGCATTGCCCCCAAACAGGTGTCTTGGGTGAAAGATGGCCCCCCACCTTGTGCTACTCCTTATTGCAAAGAAGGGAAAGACAGTCTCAAAGTGGTGCCAGACCATCTACTTCAGTGAAGTCTACCTGCCAGCAGCCAGCTACCCCACTGGATGGTTGCAAGCAGAGCCAGGATTTCTGTGGGGGTGGAGCTCTACATCCCAAGGCTGTACACGAAAAACAGTCAGTTCACACCCGGGACAGGGCAGGGAGCTGGTTTACCCCAAACTAGGTAAGCTCTTTGCACTTAGGGGCAGTCATGAAGCCTTGAGGGAGTTAGGGGTCAGGGGGGACTCCCGGCATTTCCTATCCTGGCTCCAGTTCCTCTTAGCTGTAGCTCCACCCATGAGACAGGCCTGTCTTGCTCTCCAAGGTCCTCATATGGCCTGAGTTATGGCTGCATGCCCTCTACCACTCTCTGCTCTGCTGTAGGTCAGTGGTAGCCAGCGGCCTGGGTGGGGTTATGCCAAGGGAAGCGCCCCAGGCCCTGTGTCTGACCATCCCTGTTGATGAGCTGTCTGGAAATGTAGTGACTCAGACATGGCCTTGGCTGTCTGGGGTCTTCAGTTGCTAGGTTCCTGACCAGAAACTGTCTGTCAGAGTGGCTTCCTCAGAGGCTGTACTTCATGCCCATCTTGCATGGCCCTCACCCTTGGCCTGGTGGCCTGAATCTCCACCCCAGGGCAGGGCTCTGAAAGCTCTTACCCTCTCCCACCCCAGCTTCCATTTCCCCATTCTCCCTTGGGGGTTCCACCCTAACACTCAGGGGCATTATTGGGGATTCTAACCTGGATTCCGGGAGACGTTGGCCACCCACTGCTGCAGATGTTCCTGGCTGGTACGGACCTGAGTGAGCTGGGACTGTAAGCCTTGCAGCTGCAGGGCACTGCCAGCCACTCGGGCTCTGGGGTGCTCAGACTGCAGCAGTGAGAAGGACGAGGTGTCATCTGCTGCCATCAGAGTTCCATTGGGGAAGTGCATCTCCAGCGCCCGGACCCGCTCCTGCAGGCTCAGAACTGGACACCCCGCCCTCCTTGAAGACTGCTGAGGCATTGGAGCACTCCCCAATGCCCCCAGTGACTTGAATGGCCACCAAATTCACATGCTGTTGGGCCACAGGCACTTGTACAGTGTCCTCCACACCTGAGCATGGTGTTACACAGCCACGGTGGAGGCAGCCACCTCCACATTCAACCTTTGCTCAGCTAAGACCTTTCCACATGCTCTGAGTGTGAACATATGAACACGACCACACTGTTTTGGCTAAAACATGTATGAGCTGCATGCATGACCTTAATATATGTCTGGCATGCATTTATGGCAATTGTATGTGCAGCACTCTTGAAAGACATCAGTGTCTACTGACAGAATTACATCATGATGTTGCCATCTTGGCTGAAAATACTTTGGAAACAAAATCATCTTCAGGCGAACATTTCCTTCAGCACGGCCCTCTCCTGCCCAAAGCCTGGAGACCCTTGATGTCACGTGTGCACAGCATAACCTGCTGAAGACCATTGCTTATGGGGCTGAAGTTGTGGCATAACAAGTTGCTCTAGCATCCCATATGGGTGCCAAGAATCCCAGCTTCTCAACTTACAATCCAGCTCTCTAGTAATGAGTAGTGAAAGTAGTGGGAGATGCCCCAAGTGTTTGGGTCTTTGCACCTACATGGGAGACCCAGAAGAAGCTCTTGACTCCTGGAGTTAGCCTGGCACATCTCTGGCAGGTGCAAACATTTGGGGAGTGAACTCACAGTTGGAAGACCTCTCTCTCTTCCACTCTCTCATGACATAACACACTCTATCCCTTTGTTGCTCCCATCTTTGTGGCTGAATGGGGGTCAGGAACTATCTCCTAGCAAGTGGGCAGCGGTGGCCCCAGCACTCTCTGCTTTTTAAGTCCTGTGTCATAGGAACCCAGAGGAGACCACATGGGACCAAGAATGCTTTACCTTGCATCACCAGCAGTCCAGTGCCCACAGTGAGCAGGATCAGGTAGATAACCACTATCACCGTGAATAAGTTCACGCTGCTTCTCTTCTTGGGTTTGGGATCTGAAACACACATAGGCTGGAGGGTGGCAACTGCAGAGCATAGAACAGGGGAGCTCAGCCTGTGTCAGGAACTCCACCCACTGTGTGAGCAGTGGGGATCCCCAAAAGTCACTGAGGATGATTCTCAAGTCTTCCTTCCATCACAAGACAATAAGCATCACTCTTGTGCACTCATGTGTATGCATGTGCAAGCTGACATCCACACTGTATGTCACCAGTAGAGGGCTGCTCTGTCAGCCTGGCTCACTGTTCAAACTACATTTGGGGAGATGAACAAGCATTTTAAACTTCAAAACTCAGGGAAGAAGCACTTGTTCCCATTTTCCCAGCAAAGAGAAAGGCTTGGAGATGCTGAGGTAATTCACTGGGTGATAAGATGCACATCTAGGATACACATTTGGGTCTTCCTTCTCTTGCAAGGAATGGCTTTCCTGGGTATTCCTCTTATTTCCTTTGTCGAGAGAGTGGCAAGAGCACTTTTTTCAGCTGTCTGATACCCCTCATCTATAAAAGCCCCAATTCCTGCCTGCATTTCCCTTTTGGTGAACTGCTTCCAGACAGTTCTCACCAAAGCAGCTGTGCTAAATTATTCCAGAATCCACAGACCCCAGTCCTCCATCAGTTGAAACTCTGATTGAGGGGGTTGAAGGAGTCACAGGAAGGGGTTCCTCCTGCCATTGAATGCCCTGCTATTGCTACCACTCACATGAACTGAACACTGAGTCTACATTGCACATTTCCCAGTGGCATTTTTCTCCCTCACAGCAACACTGTAAAGCAGGCGTGATCATCCTCTGCTACAGGGGAGAGAGCTGGGACTCAGGGATGATAAAACAATGGGGTTGATGTCTGGTGTAGCTGTTAAGACCCCACTTGGGTCTTGTTTTGGAGACCTAGTTCTATTCCTGATTACAGCTCCTTGTAAAGTGCATCGTGGGAGGCAGCAGGTAGCGGCTCAAGTAGCTAAGTCCCAGTCATCCACACGGGAGACCTGGATGGAGTTCCAAGCTGTTAGTTTCAGCCTGGTTCAGCCTAGGCTATTGCAGGCATTTGGAGAAGGAAACATCAAATGGGAGATCTCTCTCTCTCTTTTAGAATGCATATGTGTCTAATCAATCTATCTTCCTACCTTCCAAATAAATGCAGTTTTTTCCACTTTAAAAAGAGTAGGCTAGCACCCCAAGTCCATCCTGTGCAAAGGCCTGAGCTGCCACACTAGCCTACTATTGCTTGACCATGGCCCCTTGGGAAAGCACAGGTGGAATGGTTCCTACAGGAAGATGTGAAGGAGAAAGAAATCACCTATTAGCAGCCTAGGGAGAACATGACGGGGATATGAGCACTGCTTTCCTTCTGTGGTGGGGCAAGCTGGGTTTGCAGCCATCTCTTCTTATAGATGTGTGTGCACCTCACTCATTCCTTTCTCCCATCCCACCAATACCCCCTCTGTACCCCCAAGGGTATTGCTATCAACTGCCAACAGAACAGCAGTCCCTGCCTGAACATTTCCAAGAGGGAGTGCTTTGCTTGGTGGGTGGTGGGTGGGTGTTTTGCTGATGGCACCCGAGAATGCTCAGGCTAGGATGGGGTACCCCTCTTTCCCCCACACATAGCTGTGGAGTCTATACCTGTGCAGTCATCCAAGTGAGCTCCCAACACTCAACCTGGCCTGCCTGTAGCCCTTCGGTGGCTGCTCACTGCTTGCAGGCAACAGCTCTGCACAGCCAGCTCTTGTACAACTGCACCACCATGCCATCTGCATACAGGCCCTGCCCAATAGTCAAGCTCTCCTTTCTTCCTTTCCAGCTTGCTTTTCTGCTCTGGTACCTTTTCCAGCTCCTCTCTGGACTCAGAGCAAGCCTTACTGCTTGTCTATTTCACTCCATGGCTCCCTCTGTCATGGCACATGCCATTGTGTGTGTGTGTGTGTGTGTGTGTGTGTGTGTGTGTGTGTGTGTGTGTGTTTCTCAGTCTCTCCTCCATGGCCTGGAAGCTTCTTGGGCTATGTTCTAGCACCACTGTGGTACTTGCCACACGATAATATGCTGCAATGATGACCACAGAATGGATGAACAAATGAATGTACAAGATTATGGCAGAGATGAGGCCACTGAACATGTGCATTGTTGGACACTGCCAGCCCAGAAGTGTTGGGAGAACAACCAAAAATGGTTCAGGAGTCAGACAGCCATGCAACCATTACAGGAAGGGTGTCTAGTCACCCAAGGGAGGCCTCACATTGAGCACAAGATACAGATCCAAGATGGTGCTCACCCTGGAGTAAACCTGACATGGAGAGGGTTAGAAAGGCATAAAGGTTCAAGTGCTTCAGAGGCAGGAGGTGAGGTGGAAGCAAGCATGGGAAATGCACCAAGGTTAAACAGTAGGCGAAGGGGAAAGTGATGGGGAAACGACAACAGAGGTAGCTGTAATGCAGTGTTTCCTACACATTCACCCTAGCCTATAGTGCTCGCCTAAACTCTGACCTCCCACTGGGCAAAAGGAATAAGGAATTTTAGGAGTTGGAAAATTGGGATGGAATACTCCCAACTGGAAGGTATGGGGATCTGATTTTTTTTTTTTTAAGTCTTTATTTGATGGCTTCATCAAGGGTGGAAAAAGCTACCAAAAATGCCTTGTGGCTTGGGCTTGGCTCTACTGAGGAGGGGCGCCTCAAGGCGAAAGAGTGTGAAAAGGGTTTTAAGCAAGCCAGGGAGTCTGGCACAGACAGGAGGGAAGTGAGTTTCAGAAATGTGACAGCTCTATTGTCTGATTCAAAATAACAACCTGCTCCTGTGGGAAATAAAAATGAGGCCTCAGCTCAATCAAAGGTTTCCGTGAAGGAAAAAGGCTGCATGCACCAAAGTCTTCCCAGGCCTGTCCCCTCCTGGCAGAATCTGCTCTCCCAGCAGCAAGAGGTGGTCCTGAAAAGTGTTCTTTTCCCTGGCCATGACACTAGAGACATCGAGCAGGTGGTGTCTCACCTACCCTGGAAAGGACTACCTGGTGGAGCACAGCTAGAGAAGACAGGTCAACCTTGGGGTTTGGTGCATTCCTACCCTCCACTGGTGTTACAGGGCAGAGTCAGAAAAGCCTTCAGCAGGGGGCAAGCAACAGCACAAAGGTGCCAGGTGAACAAAGTACACCAGAGCAGTGTGGGGTTCTGACAACCAAACTGTCGTAGAATCACAGTCCATGGAAGTAGTGCAGAATCTACGCAATGAACTCAATGTTGGACCATCTATAAAATGGAAGACTTAAATAGGATACAGAACTTGCTAACGTCCTACACAGAATGACCTGTATATAATGGAAAGAAGAACAGAGAATTCACAACTTTAATAAGAAGAGGGAGTCTAGCACTGGGATTGTGACACAGTGAATTTATCTGCCACCAGCAATGTGGACAATCCCCTGTGAGCACTTGTAGGAGTCCTGGGTGCTGCACTTCCAACCCAGCTCTCTGCTGATGCAGCTGGAAAAGCAGTACAAGATGATCCAAGTGTTTGGGTCCCTGCCATTCACATAGGAGATACAGATGAACTTCTAGGGTCCTGAGTTCAACCTGGTCAAGCCTGGTACACGGGGCCATTTGGGAAGTGACCCAGTAGATTAAGAACTCTTTCTTTCTCTCTCTCTCTCTCTAACTCTGCAGATTTAAACTCTTGAATTTCAACAATTGCTTTAAATAGAAGTTCTCTAAATATGAGGGCAAGCCAAAAGGTTTGTGGAAAATAATATCAAAAGGTAAGATTTTAAATCCAAACCTAGTAATTGTTTTCATTGCACGTATTTCCCATGTGCTGCTTGAAGAGTTCTCATCCATCAATCAGGAAACAGATATTGAGGGCCAGCATAGTGACATAGCAAGCTAGTCCTGTGCCTGCCAGCACCAGCATCCTATAAGGGCATCAATTCATGTTCCTGCTTCTCTGCTTTTGACCCTTGCTTATGGGCTGGAAAAGCAACAGAGGATGGCTCAAAGCCTTAGGACTCTGCACCTGCTTTGGAGACCTGAAAGAAGCTCCTGGTTCCTGGCTTCAGATTGGCTGAGCCTCAGCTATTGTGGCCATCTGGGGAATGAGCCAGCAGATGAAGGTATTTCTCTGTATCTTCTTTCTCTGTAACCTTCCTTTCCAATATAAATAAGTAAATTTTTTAAAAGAGGAGAAAAACAAAAATACACTGGAAAAGGATAAACAAAGCTATTTCTACCTGTAAGTAGTATGAATTGATATAAAAAAAATTCCAAAGAATCTATAAAACAAGTTTCTAGAACTATAAAACTCACCAGAGTTATAGAATATAAACTCAACATGCAAAAATAAAATCAAACTCTTTCTATATGAAGGTACTTCATAGAGTTGTGGGAAATGGAATTAAAGGATTTTTTTTTAGAAGAAATTTGAAACTCACACATATTTTCATGACAAGCATTTGCCATGAACTATTTGAAGAAGCTTCATAATCCAAGCACAAATAATAAAAGCAAAATTAAAATCACAAAATCTAAAAAGAGAAGAAAAAAGGGAGCTGGCATGATGGTACAGCTTAAGTAGCACCTGTGACACCAGCACTGTGTGTCAGTGCTGGCTCAAGTTCTGGCTGTTCCACTTCTAATCTAACCTCCTGCTACTGCACCTGGGAAAGCAACAGAAGACGATCCAAGCACTTGACCACTGCTACCTGTGTGGAAGACATGGATGGAGTTTTAGCATCCTGGCTTCAGTCTGGCCTAGTCCCAGCCATTGCAGTCCCATGGGGAGCTAACTAGCAGATGGAGGATCTTTCTGTATTAAGTATCTCCCCTTTTCTCATTCCAATTCTGCATTTTAAATAATTAATAAATCTTTTTAAAAATAAAATACACCAAAGAAATGACAATTACTAAAAAAAATGAAATGTTTGTCTCTTCAGCTAAAAATTATAAAATTCTGATTTAAAAAGAAATGAATGACAAGTAAATGGAGAAATACACTATGCTCATAGACATATCCTAAAGACGTCAATTCTCCCAGTAGTTCTAACACAACTGCTAGCAAGATTTCAGCAAGTTTTTTTTTTTATGTGTAAGCAAATGTCTATTCAATGCGTGTCAGAAACCACATGATCTGTGTTATAGCTTGAGCGAAATTTGAACTTTTGTAGATGTTTAATCTCTAAGGTCACAAACTGGTGGTACTGAAAGAGTAGAAGCAGCTCAATCCATTAGGTTATTTAGGAGGTAGGCATCATGGGAGTGTCTTGGTTCAGTGAAGGCGTGGCCCTGGGATATAGTTCCTATGCGGAGTTTGATCCTGAAGCCGGGTTGTGCCAGCTGCTCTGTCTGCTTCCTGGATAGCTATGAGGTTCTTCCTGTGCAGGTGCTGCACCATCACCATCCTCTGGCCTCACCAGATGCCTTAGCTAATATGGGACTCCAGAACTGTGAGTTGAAATAGACCTCCTTCCTTTACTAAAGTATGTGCTGTGGTGACAAAAACCTAATAGATAACAAAATGTGAAGAATAAAATGTGGGGAATGACTCCACGTTGAGGGTTACAATATGGCTATAGCCATTGAGACTTGGTGGTATTGGTGGAGGGATAATCATATATACCAAAGGTATATAAAAAAGAACTCAGGACCCTGGCATGGTGGCCCAGTGGCTGAAGTCCTCACTTTGAACATACCAGGATCCCAAAGGGCCACCGGTTCTAATCCTGGGGGCCCTGCTTCCCATCCAGCCTTGTGGCCTTGTGGCCTGGAAAAGCAGTCAAGAATAGCCCAAAGCCCTGGGATCCTGCACTTGTGTGGGAGACCCAAAAGAAGCTCTGGGCTCCTAGCTTCGGAATGGCTCAGCTCCAGCCATTGCGGCTGTTTCGGGGGTGAATCAACAGATGGAAGATCTTCCTCTCTGTCTCTCCTCCTCTCTGTATATCTGACTATCCAATAAAAATAAATAAATCTTAAAAAAAAAAGCTACATAAGTGGGCAAAGCAGCTTTATGTGTAATTGGCCAAAGTCCTTCAGTGAATAAACAAACTGATATATTCCTATCACAAGGCAATGCACTTTAATATGAACCAAGTGTTGATATCTAGAATAACTTAAGTAGACCTAAAGAGAATTGTGCTGTGTAAAGAATAATTCCAATCTTAAGATTACAGTCTGTATAATTATATTTCTAGAACATTCCTGAAAGAGCAACATTATGGATATGGGAACTAATTGTTTATTGCCAAAGGTGGGTGATGGCTGGCGGGAGAAGCAGTTTGTGTGCCTGCAAAGCAAAGGTCTGTACTGAGTTCTATTCACACTCACATGAATGAATGCTTATAAAAACTCCTGAGTAAGCTCTGTGGACTCAACTTCCTGTTGCGACCTTGAACTAAAGCTATGGAAAGAGTTATCACAGAGGGAAACTGGAGGAAGGGTCACCAAGACCTCCTGGTACATATTTTGCAACGTTCAGGGAACCTATAATTATTTCACAATCAAAAGCTAATTTTTTGTTGTTGTTCGTTTAAATCTCTTCGGTCAGGCCAAATGTTTAGAAGTTGTTGGGAAAGAGGGACATGACCGTGAATTGAGTGAGAACAAGGTCATGGCATGACAGCAGTCACACGAGCAGGAATGAACCTGAGTGAACTTGAGGGTTAAGGTAGCAGGAGGAACAGCTGCACCTACTACTGGGAGCCGATGGTTAATCCCAATGAAAACACACAACCAAATCCTTAGCTTCTGGATGTGCGTTTTTGCTGGGGCTTTTCTGTGGGAAAATACACTTTTCAAGCAGAAACTGATGGGGGAAAAGTACAGTGAAGAAGGATATACAGCCTGAAATAGTTGAGAGACTGGGGGTGAGAGGCGCATCCAGGCGTCATGCCAGCTGGGGTGGGCTCTGGCACCAGGGCCTGAGCCAGCATCTCCCAGAAGCTGGAAGCAGGAACATCCCTGAGAGATGCTGTCAACAGGGACAAACCCTGCTTCCTGCGTTCATGCTCCCACGTGCCTTGGCACCGAGGACAGATGGTAGGAAGTGGCACTGGTTCACCGGGAAAGACCCAGGGATTTTGTTGGATACTAAATGAAACAAGAGCCAGCTGCATGTTGAATCACTTCAGGAAAGCAAGGCCATCTTTGTGGGACTCATTCCACAATGGGTGCATGTATGAATCAGCTCATGTTTGCTGCCAGTATATGTAAGACTTCTCCACATCTGGGACAGCTGAGGAAGGTGGCCAAGTACTTGTGCCCTTGCTACCCACATGGAGACCCATACAGACTTCCTGGCTTCCACCTGACCCAGCCCTGGCTTTTGCAGCCATTTGAGTAGTGAATCAGTGGATGGAAGATTTTTCTCACTTGTCAAGTAAGTACTTATTTATTAAATAGATGAAAGATTTATTACCTTAAACAACAATTAAGTCATATGCCCAAAGAACACAATCTGAGAAGTTCTGAATAGCTAATACACATGCCACTCTCTGTTGCCACGCCTGTGGGTTTCTAGAAGCAGAGCCAAAACTTTCAACTTGATACCCATGTTCCTTCCAGCCAGGGGCCTGTAGGGAAGAATGCTAGGTAAGGGGATGCTCGTGTGAGCAGCAGAGCTACTGTTCTTATACATGCACCTTCCAGAAAAAAGTGGGAACAGGAATGACGGATCATCCTGGGAGATCATTCTAACAGCAAGTTTAGAAAGGGAATTCAGAGGTCATGAATCAAAAGCAATCCACCCACATCTATAATATCACCTATAATATCACCTAATATCATGGGAAAATAGAAACAACAGTTTTGGCTAAAGTTTCAAAGCCTGAATTTCATCTATTGCAAACTGACTATGAAGCTAGGGACGCAGCCCAATCAATGCCAAATGGGCAAGTCTTCCCTAATCAGGACATCAGAAGCCTCCTTAAAGAATTTTAAAGGCATCGCATGTAAAACAGCATTGCACTTGGCATGTCTCATGGAATTTTTTCACTTCTGCTGTCTCACCTCACCATCTGTGTGTAAGAAGCTGACACTCATAAAAAGGGGAGCAGGTAGTAAGCATTGTCATTCACCTAAGGGAATTCATTTAAATCTCTTCTAAAGAAATTGTGAAGCTAAAAAATAATACCCCCAGCAAGCTGTGCACAAAAGGTATGGCATCCATTATTCAGCATTCTAGAAATCTCTGATTGCAGCTTTGCAGACAGGCACTAGGAGAGCTTTATGCAAAGCACAGCAAGGATGCAAGCCTGGGATGCCACTGGGCAACTGCATAACAGGGAGTTATACTTTACCATTGAGTTCGAAGGTCTCCATCTCAGGGCACATGGTTTGTTCAAAGGCTGCCGGTTCTTGGGTGCTCCCCAAGAAATCTTCCACTTTGAGGATGCTCTTTGCTGCGCTTTATAGTTGCCCAAAGTCCGGCAGCCAGCAGAAGCACTCCGGTCAAGAGGAACCACTTGGCGAAGGATTGTTCCTATTTAATCAGTGCAGTGAATAGGAACCCTCGCCACACTTCCCTTTGGCTCTGACTCCTGAGCTTGCAAACTGCTTCCTGCCATGATAAGGGTGGGGCACTTCTTGAAAACCAGCTCTCCACATGTGGAGCTGCTGCCTGACACAGCTGCTTGTTAAGAGGGGAAGAGGTGGTCCAGGTGGCTTTCAGACACTTCATTACTCCAGGCTCATTTTTCTCCTCAAGCTTACTGTCTCCACCCCAGCTTACTGTCCTGAGACCTGTCCAGTCCGTACGCCAGATAATATACCTCTCACCTGCTTCTCCCCTCAGAGCTCACCGTGGCTGCTCCATGTGTGATCCATGGGAGCTGGTTAGAAATGTGGAATCTTGGTGCCCACCGCACACAGACTGAATCCAGATCTACGATGACTTACATATACGTTTGAAGTTTGGGAGACACTGCACTAGCCCACATATGTAGTTCTTGGGTTATCAGGGCACTTTAACAAATTTCTGAGAAATCACATAAGATAAGCTTGGGGCTCAACCTTTACACTAGTGGTTAAGGTGCTGGTTAAGATGCTTTATCCCATACAGCATATGTGGTTTTGAATTCCAGCTCCAGCTCCCAGGAACAGCTTCCTGGTAATGTGCACCCTGGGAAGCAGTACTGATAGCCCAAGCACTTAGGTTCCTGCTTCCCACAAGAGAGACCTGCATTAGGTTCCCAGTCCCTACTCCTCAGACCCAGCCATTGCAGGCATCTGGGGAGTGCACCAGTGGATAGAAGCATCGTCTCTCTCTCTCTCTCTCTCTCTCTCTCTCTCTCTCTCTCTCTCTCTCTCTCTCTCTGCCTCTCAAGTAATTTAAATAATTTAAATAAAAGAAGGTAAGTTTCTTGAGGCACAAAGAAACACTCCAACCCATGCATGATTTTCCCCTAATTGTTCATAAACTTTTGGGTATTTCCCAATGTTTTGCCATGTTTTGTCTAAATGCGCATGTGTGGTTGCTCTAGCCCAAATTAGGTCTGAGTTCCCTGAGCAAAAAGACCTCCTTCCTACCCTCCCCTATGCTGGGTATCCCTGACATACAGGGATGGTGCATAGTGTGGTGGTGACCAGGACACAGATGCTAACAGACAAGGGGCCTGGGTTCCACTTCCACCTTTATTCATGTAGGAGCCATGTGACAGTGGGCAGATCAGTTCAGCTGGGAGTGTCTCTCTTCCCCCATCTATGATAAAATGAAAATGTTTATAGTTGCTCTGAGTACAAAATGAATGAAGTCTTGCAAGGGGAGTAGATTGCACCTGTCCTGTCCTTAGACTCTTTGGTGATTGCTGTGATTTGTCTCCTCTGGAAACTCATAAAAAATCCATTGCATTGTGTGACGTCAAGAGGGTTGAAACCGAATCTGACTGGTGTTTTGGGATGGGACCTTAGGGGATCATTAGGATACATTAAAGTCATCAGGGTAGAGCCTGGTGGTTGAATCCAGGAGGCTTTATAAGAAGATTCACACACACACACATGCACACACACACACACACACACACAAGTGTGCACACACACATGCATGTACACATATACACACATACATATACACATCCACACACGTATTATCTACGTGTATACTCACTTACGCATGCACACACGTGCACTATCTTTCACCTTGTCATTCATACCCTAGGCAGCCTCAAGACTTTGCCAGCAAGAGGACCATCACCAGCTGTACCCCCTTGATCATGAACCAGAACCATGAGCCCCTGAAGGCCTTTTCCTTTATAACTTCCACACTCTGTGCTACTGTGTCATAGCAAAAGAAAACAGATTCAGCAGATCCTGTTGTTATTCTCACTAGGGGCATAGTGACCCTGCTGGATATTGAGAAGATAAAGATGTGATTGTTGCCTTAGAAATGCCCCCAGTCTTCCATACAAGACAGAATGTGGCCTTCAGGCAGGCATGGGCAGGGGTGGGCTTTATACTCTAACCCTCAGGACTGCCAGAGCTGAGTTTAAAGGGATGACTGGGGAGTGACCTGAGAATCAAAACGAGGCGAGGGCCTGCGGTGAAGGTGGGGGGTGCAGGCGATGCTGTGTCTCTATAGGAAAGCAGAAATAAGGAGGAACAAGAGAGGAGGCCCGCCCAGGCAGAGTGAAAGGGGAGTGAACCAGGGGACAGTGGTCCCCAGTGCTGCCCCTAATTTCAACATCCAGGAAGTCACTAATGGTAGCAGAAGCAGGGACAGGAAAGGCTAAAGGAGAGAATTGGAAGTGAGGAAGTGGAGGGAGTTGCAGCTAAAGCCTGAGGTTTGGGGATGTGGATAATAGAGGTGGCAGGGGGCTTCCCCCACAGATGGAGAAATCCCCTAGGTGGAGGGAGCTTTCCCATCTAGCCTGGCAGGGCCTCCCTGTTCTCCATCTGTCTTCCTACCCACATGGTTCACCCTCATGGAAGCCTGCGGGTTGCTCATTCTAAAATGCCTGTGCCCTGGGCTCTTTCCTGAGGGCTCCTGTTTTTGGAAAGGGAAGCTAGTACAAATCCAGATAATTGTGTATTTCCTTCAACTTTGGTTACTGGACCAGACACACCTGAGTCTCACATCTAAGTCTTTCATCAGTTGCTGTGTGCCCTTGGCAGACTCGCTTACACTTCTTTGAACCTCAGCATAAAGTCAAAGCCCCTAGGAACATCAGGTAGTATCCAGAGCATATGGTGACACTGGGAAGTGTTCTGAACCATCCCATGCATGATGCCACACTCACAGGTGCTTGTTCCAGAAGGTTCTGCAGTCGATTTAATCTAGAGGTCCAAATCTAGAGGTTGGCATGAGGGGTGCTTTGGAAAAACACAAACTGCTTGCTTCTCATTCCTAAGCTGAGCCTCTGTCTTCAGCAAGGCACTCGTGGCTCTAAGGCATAGCCTGGAGGAGGGCACTGAGCAGATAATGAGGCATTGGCATGCAGTGGGCAATGTGTGTGTGGGTGCCCTCAAGACTCTAGCCCGGGAGGACCCATCAGGGGAAGCTGTGTGAAATGACTGATAAGCATCCCTTGTTCATGCCTAAATGGCTGCTCCATCTGACTCCAGTTAATCCGCCCACCCTGCAGAGCTCTGGACTCACAATGGGACCAGGATTGAGGTCGGCTGTCACAAACCTTGAGTACCAAAGATTTAAACATCAAGACATGTCATATTTTAATGCACTACTTTCTTTTCAAAAGCCTGACTTTTTTTTTTACTTGTTTCTTTCCTTCTAATCTTTCCAAAGAAAAATCTGTGTTTTATTTGAAAGCTGAAGGGACACAAAGCATCAGAGACAGAAATCCAGAGAAGTCTTTCATTTACTGCTTCACATCCTCAAATGCCAGCAAAGCCAGGGTGAGGCTTGGCATTCTGGAACTCGGTCTGGGTCTTCTAAGTAAGCTGATGTTGTGGAGTACTTGGAATGCCTGTACTCTTTCTTTTTTTTAAAGACTTTTAAAAAACTTAATGGAAAGTCAAAGTTACTGAGAGAGAGAGAAAGAGAGAGAGAGAGAGAGAGAGAAAGAGAGAGAAGGAGACCTCCCACCTGCTAGTCCATCCCCACAAATGGCCAACAGCAGAAACTTCTTCTTGGTCTCCAAGTGGGTGCAGGAATACAAGCACTTGAGCCATCCTCTGCTGTTTTCCCAGGCACAGTAGTAGAGAACTGGATCAGAAGTGGAGTATCTAGGGTTCATTTGGAATGCTGGCATCTCAGGTGGCAGCTTTACTACCTGTATGCCACAGCTGCACCTGGCACTGGCCCTAGGACACCCATGTTCTATGTGGTAGGGTCTGGGTCTGAGTCCTACCTCTGCTTCCAACCTAGCTTTTTGACAATGCACATCCTGGGAGACAGCAGACAACATTCCAAGTGCTTAAGTCCCTGCCACCACATGGGAGGCCTGGATGGAGTCCTGGCTCCTGGTTTCATCCTGCCCCAGTCCCTGGCTGTTGTAGGCATTTTCAATGAACCAGCAGATGGACAAAATCAATCTCTCTTTCTCTTTCTCCCCCTCTCTCCAATTTCCAATAAATAAAGATGAATCAGGAAATGATCATCAACATGTGAATAAATTGTGCTATATCCACACAATAAAAAATTCATCAGAACTAAGAAGTAAGCCACACCATGGATGAATTTCAAAGCCCATTATATCAAATGAAAGAAGCTACACTTCGAAGAGACTATATTAGCGGATTTCAACATGGAAGGAAAAGAAGAGTTAATTTTGGCATAAATGATTTTTGGAACCCATACAGTTTGGTCATAAAACCTTTTCCCATGAGCTTTTAAAAGTCCTTCTTGTACATATAGATTTCAAAATTTTCACAGGAAAATAAACAAATCTTTCAAGTCTTTTTCTGTGGCCTTTGCAAAGTAGCCTTCCATCAGATGATCCTGTTTTCCATAGAGTTTTGAAATAAGAAAATTCATCTGAAGTGTCAGACCGCAGAGCCGTGGTGTTGGGCTGATGCTAGGAGGGGACAAGTGACCATAGTGCTTCTTGCACTGAGAATATTTACAGGACAATAAAAACGTTCCACATTTCAATTGGGGCACAAGCTACAAAACTCATTGAACTTTATACTGGTAATTTGGACATTTTGTATATCTCAATAAAGCTAATTTACATAGAAATGGAAAGAAAACGATGAAAGAATCGTTACTGTGGGACCTGGGTCCAATTCATATAAGTTTACCTTTTTTAAAGATGTATTTATTTAAAAGGCAGATTTATGGAGTGAGAAGGAAAGACAGAGAGAGATCTTCCATCTGCTTGTACATCCTCAAAATGGCCACCACAGCTGGAGACAGTCTAATCTGAATCCAGGAACCTGGAGCTTCTTCTAGGTCTCCCACGATGGCACAAAGGCTGAAACACCTGGGCAATATTCGGCTGCTTTCCCAGGCACATTATCAGGGAGCTGGACTGGAAGTAGAGCAGCTGAGACTTGAACCGG